TGGAACCTGATAGATTATCTGCCTGGGGTCAGTAACCCAGTGGGTGCCAGGATGGGCCCTGCAATGACTACCTCGCTGAGTTTCCAGGGGCCCCGGAAGCCTCTGCATGTCAAGTGATAAATGGGCCTCTTGCCCAAACCCTGCCCTGCTGAAGTGCACAGCAGAGACTCGGGCAGGTGTGTGAGAATGAGAGATGGGAAGAAGGCAGGGCTTTGGCAGCAGGTGCTAAAAAGTTCTGGAATCCTTGTACATGCACCTAGCTTGAAAACTCACACGCTCCCTTCCTCCCTCCCCATCTCCCAGGACCTTTAAGTGATGCCACTGTTTACTTGTTATTCTGCTTTCAGCTGTTTTCCTGTTTTTACCTGATTTTACCTAGAGACAAGAAGAGAGGGCCCTGTGTAGAGTAGCAGAAAGGGAGCTGGGTTTGAATCCGGGTTCTCATTAGCCATATGAATGCAAACAAAGGACTTTACCTTTAGGAGTCTCAATTTTCTCACCTGGGAAATGGAAGAAATGATACTCACCTCAAGGGACAGTTAGGAATATCAAAAAAGACAATGGATGCCAAAGCCTCTAGCACAATGCCTGGCACACAGTAGATGTTCAATAAATATTTGGTAGATGTATGAGTTGATGCTCAACAAATGTTAATTATTCCAGACTTCCATTGTTGGCACTGCTCTTACTACTTAGGAAAATGAGTTGGGAGTTCCTCTTAGGCAAGTAGCATGGTGTCACTGACTAACAGTGAAGGGGTAAAGCTCATCTTGTGCCTCTCCCCCATTCGAAGGCAAAAGGGAAAACTCCTAGCTAAAGGTTCTTTGCTGCTGCTGCTGTTGCTGCTGCTGCTAACAGAATCATCAGAGGCAGACGACCCAGCCTCTGCTGTAAGCCTCAGCGCGAGAATCTGTGGGGGGCCTCCTGCTTGTCTATTACAATCTTTGAGGGTAACTAGATCTTTAGTCCTGTCTCTGAGCCTCTGGACTGATGCAGAACAATAATGGCACTATGTATGGAGAGTTGTGTGAGAGCTAGGTAGCGGCTCAGCATGTCTCTCCGCTCTCTACCCTTCCTTTCTGTATAGTTGTCTCACTCCCCTCAGAAAAGTGGTTGGTAGCAGGTTCTACCCACTCGTGGCTCTACTCTGGGAAGGAAGTGGGCAAGCAAGAAGGGAGGCTAGAGAGCCCCCTGCTGGAGCTGTGTGGGAGAGTAGCTTCTGGCTGGTTCACCTGCGGAGTTGGTGCTGTCCTCCATCTCAGTCCTGAAAGCCTTCCCCTCTAACTTGAGATCATAGGTATAACTTGGTCCAAGAAAGCTAGGGAGTTGCTGAGCAGGCCAAGGTCACAGGGAGGTCCACTGGCAACCCCTCGTCTCTTGGCCAGACCTTTCCTTTCTACTCTGCCAATGTGGAGAAGCAGACGGTCCTACTACATAAACATCCTACAGTCTCGGCATTATAACTATGTATTTTTCCCTCTTAAGGAATGCTAAATGTGAGCAGGGTCCATATGCTGTAATTTAGAGACATTTAATGTCACTTGTTTAGTGTTAAAAGATGCTTTTTCATACTGTACACTTTATCCTCTGACATCAGGAATGTAACCTCCTGCTTCATGTCATTTCTCTCTAGAGTTATAGGCTAGGAGGTAATGCCACGGAGCATCCAGCATCCCCTTATAGAAGGAACTCACTATTTCCTCCATGACAGATGTTCAGACTCTGCTTACATACCCCTGGAGATGGGGAGCTCACCGCTTCCAGGGGAGCCTATCCAGTGTTTGCCAACTCTATTCAGTAGAAACTTTTCCTAGTTTTGGAGCTGAAATCTGTCTTACTGAGAATATATCCCTGGATTTGGTTCTTACCTTTGACAACAAAAAACAAGTTTGCTCCTTTTGGACAAAAAGAATGTCCAAGATATCCTTTTAACTTTTAGAGATTGTGGTCTTGCTTTCCTACCTCCAACTCCCTCTTATCCCTCATCTCAGGGACAAGCAGCTCTACTCTCCTCATTCATTTCTAGTGGGAAGTTATTTTCAGACACCTCACCATCCCAGTCACATTCCCAGTATCATAGCTATCATTTATTGAGCGCTTTTGCTTGCATTCCCCATACATAAGTTCATTAAAACTATGAAACTTACTATAACGAGGTAGGCATTAACTATTATCATCTCATAGATAAGTGAACAGCGATTCAGAGTGGTTAATAACTTGCCCAAGATAACATCGATATTAAGAGACAGAACCAGGGCTCAGATACAAAATTAGAACCCAGAGATGCTTGGCTCCAAGTTTTTGCTTGTAAACCACTAGGATACCACCAGCTGCTTACGAGGCCTGTGATCCAATTAATCAAAGCAGATTTTAAAAGTGGGGCTTAAATATAGTTACAACATATAGAAGCAGTCTGACCAGAGAAAAATACATCTAGACTATCATCTCTCTCTCTCTCATTTCATGCAGTCTACTTCTATTTATGCTGTCTTAGGAGATGCTATCATTTCTGAAAGGCCTGCCACTGCTGGCCTACACTGAGCTGATTACAGTCAACTAAACTCCCCAGGACTATGACATGGGAACTGCTGGAAAGTCATATCTTGGCTGTTCTTCCTTATCTTGATGATAGAGTGTCTGACAATAAAGTGAGGTCTACACCAAATTCGGGTTGGCTGTGGTTGGTTTTTGGAGTGAGAGACTAAAAGAAAAGGTGCCAAGAATGCTCCAAGGAAAAGAAGATCTGCAAAAAACACTTTATTTGTGTTCCTCTGGGCAACAAGAACCCAGGAGAGAAGCTGTATATACAACATAACATGTGTAGCCAGCTAACATATGGTTCTTTGTTACAATTTCTGAAAACCAATAAGCAAAGGGAGAATAAGCTTTGCTTTTGATTTTCTGCAACGAACCTAGAAAACCTCCAATCCAAAGCAAAAAAATGCTTAACTGAAGCTTTGTGCTAAAGGTCCTATCTCCCCTGAGCCTCCTGTCCTCTCCCTATCTCCTAATCCTCATTTCCGGGAGGTCATTTTAATTAGCAGGCTGTCATGGTGACTCAGCCTGCTGCTTTGCAGACAGGAAGGGAGCAGACTCTCCTAGACCCATTCATCATACAAAGGCACTTTACTCTTTAGAAAAATGCGCAATGTTAAGCTTGCCCCACCTTGGGAATTGCTACTGCTGCTGTTTTATCTTATCATCCCCACTTGCCTTGGAGTGCATTCTTTTGTCTTTGGCATCTCCCTTATCTTGAAATCAGTCTTCCCCCATTGCAGACTATCAGTGCCCACTTCCCAGGTTTGATCTGTGACACCAGGATCTGGAGAGCTTCACCATGATATACCTCTTAGAATGAGTGACCAAATACTTTTTGTCTCTGGAGTTAAAGTCTCAATCAAACCATCAGAGCTCATTAGGAAATATCTCTCAGAACAGTTTGCTGATGTTGTATGCTGGGTTTGGGGGAATCAGGGAGCCTGCAGCTCATAGATAAAGTGACCAAATGTCTAAGACCATTGTGATTTCAAAAATTCTGCCCCATTGTTCCCAACAGCACATTTGTCTTTGAGTTGAATGTGTTGTTTATATTGTTTTGGATCAGCAAATATGGACGCTAGTTTTCTAAAATTGTGAACAACCACAGCCTATTCTAAAAGGTAACCATTTGTAGTAACTGTACAACTTAAAAAGGTAAAGGGGCTTGCAAGCACTGACCTGATATGTGTCAAACCTCTCAAAAAGAATGTGTAAGTTTTCCTCTTCCTGTGAGAATCTCTATGTGGTGGAAAAGAGCATCTGTACTCTTCTGGTTTGAGTCTCCTATTTTGTCCCTGAGCCTTAAGCTGAAGGTTTGCAATTGATTTTCCATTGGTAAAAGAGAAAATTGATGATGAAATTTCTCATTTTTTCCCTTCCCTTTCACTAGCTTATTCATTATCCCACAACCCTTATCTTGGAAACTAGAAGGGTGATTAATTTCATGCTCCAGCAGAAAATGCATGCTCCTGCTTCCACAAGACCTCCCTGGACTCCATGTCCTTAAAAAGAGTTTGAAGGGTCTTTGTGGTTCACTGAGCTCTTCTTGTCCCTTTTGCCGTTGGGGTAGTTGCTGGCCGGGCCCCTCAGGAGTGGGTACTTGTAGGGAGGGGGTTTTTCATTCCTGCAAAGGGGGAGATAACAGAAAGAGAGAAGAAAGACAGCACATATACACACTGTATTGAAATCATGTGTGCATGTCTATCTCCCCCACTGGCCTGCAACCTCCTAGGAACGGTGGCCTTGTCTTGTCTCAGAAACCTAGCCCAGGGCCTGTTTCAAAGCAAGCACCATGGCTCAATGAGTGGCTATTAGATAGATAGATGGATATGCTGTATCGTTTTGGCTCTGGAGAAAATCTAACTGTCCTACATCTCTGCTATTCCATGTTTCTACCTTGATTCTAACTCATTCTATCCATTCATGATGGGAGGGGGATAGAAGAGCTATAGCTTGGGGGAGCCTAGGACCTCATTCCCTTTGCAACCATCTGGGCTCCAAAATCTCCTTTACATTCCTCAGTATAGCCTAATTGTGTCATTTCATTATAGGTCTGTCTCCCTCACAAGCTTGGGGGCTCTTGGAAGGCAGAGATGTGTTTGGATCATCTCTGTGTCCTGGTGCCCAACACCCAATGCAATACCCTTAACATGACTCTTCAATAATTAGAGTGTATGTTCCCTCACACCCTAGACTATGAGCTCCTCGCAGGCAGGGACCATGCCTTATCCATTTTTGCATTTTCCCTCACACATGGCCTTGTTTGTTTGTTGTGTTGTGCCTGGTTAGTTGATGTGACATTCATTCACTCATTGGACTAAGATTTATTTGGAGTG